GAAAAATTAAGAAACGAAAGTTTAACCCGTTCACTTTGCTGATTCGAGTTTAGAATTCGAGTTTTTTTACAGTAAAAAACTCTCACAAACAATCACATCTAACTTTTTTGCTACAGTAAAAAGCTCTCACATAAAGTCACATCTCAACTCAAATTCTAAACTCGAATCAGCGAAGTGAACGGAGCCTAAAAAAAACCATGTAAAAGTAAACACCATATTGACGAGCATTAGGCTTACTCTACAAGTTAAGCTTGATTTTGAACTCCACCAGTAATTATTAAACACTTTTCAACTTTCTTATAATGCTTGGTTCTATTCAAGATAAGAAAGTGGGCCAAAGGAAGCAGCTCTTTCTTGGAAGGAAAGCACCAAGATTCCCCTTTTTTTATTGAATTGCTTTATCAATCGTTATCATATCCCAGTTTACTTTACCATATTAATAAAAGCACATTAAGCAGCATCTGGGCATCACTTCTTTTATTGCTCAAACTCCCAAGTTGAAACTGCCGACCAGAATATCATTATCTACCGTCTAATTTCTCTTTGAAACTTTTTACAACAGGGTTAGAGATACTTTATTAGGGATAGAATACGGATTTATCTACAAACGTCAGTTTAAAATCACATCAAATTTAAAAAAAAAATTATAAAACTCACAAAATTTAAGGAGATGTTTATTTCTTGTATTCATTTTTAATTTTAAATCATGATTTATAATTCTTTACAGTATTTTTTTTCATAAAAAACACACGTAAAACAAGAATGATTCTGAATCTTAATTTTGAATCTATGAACCAAACACCCACTAATAAAGTGGTATTAATTTAAAATTATATACAAACGAGTTTTTTTTTCATATCCTACAAAATATTTTATTTAAAAAGAAATATGAGGTGATATTATTCTCTTTGTCTGCGTATTTTGTGATATCAATATTTGTGAAAGAACGTGAGTCGTGAGGTTGTAATAGCACGTGCAAAAACCGAAAGGAAGCATTAAATCAACCAAGCAATACTTTAAGTCAAACAAACGGGTTTATGTGTTCTTTTTTTTTTTTTTTTAAATGTGAAAGGTATATCAAGAACCAAAAAAAATATTTATTAGGGTTTTGGTTAATTGGTACGTATTTTTACTAGCATTGTATGTTTATCATAAGGTTTTACCCATAAGATACCGTTGGGTTTTTTTTTTTTGGCTCGGGGAGGTTAATTACAATTGGGTTTATTTGGACCAAAAAAGAAAAAGTGAAAATAAAAGAAAAGAAAAGTGATGGCCAGTGTTTGTTTCCTACCTATTATATTGATAATTGATCCTTATTTATTTATTTATTTATTTATTTTTGTTTTCCGCATTTGAGTTTTGTCTCGTCCTAACAACCAACGACTGTTTTTTTCCCCACCCATTGAACGTTGTTTTCCTAGTCTGTCTTTGGTTGTGAGGGCTAAAGTGAAATGGCGCAAGACCGTGTTCGCTAGGATACGATTATGGACTGGCCTCTGATGTAACATCTCCGATTATGAAACACATGAGATGTTTATTTTATGTATTCGTTATTAATTCTGAATCATAATTCATGATTCTTTATAGTATTTTTTTCTTATAAAAAATACACGTAAAACGAGAATGATTTTAAATTATGATTCTAAATCTATGAACCAAACGTCCACTAAAAAATTTAAAATAATCTTGTTTCATTTCAAACTTGAAACCATGTGGATTTCAAGACCATTTGAGTTTTCACAATGTGATTTGTCATTTGTGTGTGCTTTTTTTTTTTGTGTGGAACAATGTGACCGTGTTGTTGCCAGTTTTACTAAAATGAACACCGGTGACAATTAAAACCTCAATTATTTTAGCATCATTTTTCCTTTTACTTTTTTCTCCGAATACTACAAAGACTACAATAAACTAGGTTCGCCTAATAATTTGCGAAGGATAAATGTTCAAATAAAATAACATGTGAAAAAAGGGGGGGAAAAAAAGTTTAGTGACCAAGTTGAACGGGAAACACAAGTGCATAAACAACATTGAAAATATATATGGCTAATATTTTAAGAGGAAAAAATATAGTTTTCTATTAAAAAAGATGAAAAAAATATAGAAACCGCATTTATTAATATGTGTATGAAGCAACGCATAATTCTTACTCTCGTTTATTTGATAAGTGATAACTCAATTAAAAAAACAAAAAAAAAAGCAGCAATCTCATATTACTTAGGATATGTTCATTTCACAATTCAAGTCATTATTTGAGTTATGACTTAAGTTGTATATGTGAGAGAAAAATACTGTAACAAAAAAATTAAATTTAAATTTTTATGAAAAAAATACTGTAATAATAAAATTTGAGTTGTGAAATGAACAAGTTTTTAATTTACTTTTAGCTTCATATTATTACTATTATTTATTTTACGAGCATAAGTTTCACTTGTTAAGAAAATTAAAATGAATATATCAAAACGAAAATGAAGCCTTTTAAATAAGAATCTTGTGTTTAACTTTCTTTATTTTATGTTTATCTTCTTGATGTAATTATGAATAGATTCGGCTAGAAGTAAATGCATTTTAATTAAAGGAAGAGACACGTTTATGCCTACTTCTATTATTTTTTTTGTTGAAAGAGAAAAATAGGCTAAGGCTAAATTACTATTTTCGTTCATAATTTATCTAGTTATGAACCATAACTTGATAAGTTATTGTCCATAATTGTTTATAACTTGTCTGACTATGAACCATAACTTGACAAGTTTGTCCATAACTTATCTAGTTATGAACCATAACTTGACAAGTTATGACCTATTAATTTATATAACTAAAAATTAACCTATATAATTTCTTAAGCTTTTCATATTGGCCTATTTTCTTTATTTTTAAGTGTATTTTTCTTATGACATAGATAATAGTCACGAATGATATATGTCTATCATGTTTATTTTATCGATTTGAGTTTAAAATTTAAATTTTGTTATAATAAAAAATTTTAAAAAATAATCATATTTAATTTTTTTATTACAATAAATTTTTTTTTACATAAAATCACATTTTAATTCAAATTAAAAATTTGAATAATACGTGCTTCATGTTAGTCCTGTGGTGGGTACAGCACAAGATCTTCATCCCCGTATTAAAATAAAGATTGGTTGAGGACGCCATTTGCCACGTCATTGTCGTAAATATGTAAAAATATTATTATATTAAATATCTCCAATTAAAAAACGTTTTGAGAAAAGTGTCTTTTATTAAATTAAAAAAAAAAAGAATTTAAGAGGCTTCGAAGAACGTGAGATGTGTCAGCTACCTCGCTCGGAGTTGGCGAACGCGGCCTTTAACAAAAGCCCATGGTTGACTATTAAATTTACAAGCCTGCCACTTCACGTCTCCAATAGCGATGTTCAGCGAAACCGTGTATTACGCACATGGTTCTGTCGCTACATTAATGGGCAAAGCGTGTTTACGAGTCTAACAAAAAACGACAAATTACTCTTTTTATATTTCAACCATGGATCCTTCAACCTTAAAAAAAGAATAATACAATTTACAAATCTTTTAGGTTAATCTCATTTGTACCACTAAATTTTAGTATTGTTTTTAGTTTGTCCTTAACCTTTAAAAATTCTTATTTTATTTTCTAAATTTTAAATTAATCCCACTTAAATTTCTTCATTAGGAATCTAGGATATCTGATTTTAACAAACGAACATACATATATTTGCTGAAGCACATACATACATATATATTATATTTGAAGTTCATTTTAACTAACACAACCTTGCTATTACCGTGAGTAGTGGAAAAAATTGGCCAATCAAATATAAGTTTTAGCTTTAAATGTTGTCGTCAAATTGATTAGTCACCTAAAATTGTGATGATAATACCAAATTCAGGCACATGTTTTTACATTTTTTTTAACTCACAAACTTTACTGGAATTGACTTCTCAAAAAAAAAAAAAAAAAAAAAAAAAAAAAAAAATTTTACGGAAATTAAAGGGGGCGGCCACGCGCACACACACACACACACACAAAAGAGTTGCCAATAATTGAAGTAAATGCAGGCACGTTTTGTCATCTTAATTCAATTACTAATTATTACTCCCGTCCCATATACATTAACCACTAAAATGACACCTGATTTTATCACTAATTCTTTATGCTGCTGATAACAAACTGCGTTAATTAGAAGATTAATACCTTAATCATAATTTTAAGACTAAATAACACGGTGATTTAATTGAAAAGAAAGCCATAAACGCTTGGGAAACAGTCTTTTACCATTACTAACAAAAGAAATGAGCAACATTGAAGCAACACATAAACACTTTGACTTCAAAGAAGGTAAAATAGAAGTTTCCACCAACTTTTTTTTTGTCCTCAAGGTTTGAAAAACTTAAACCCAATAAATTAATTATTAATCCTAGATTAGACCGAGTACGCATCCATCTGAAATAAATTTTAAAAATTAACTATTTAATCATTGACCATCTTTTGGCATAATGACGTATTGATAATTAATTGCCATATTGACTAGCAAATATGTAACAAGTTTCTGAAATACTCCATTTTAGTTGTGATGGATTACAAGTTCTACCAATTCAATGCATATTATACGTAATACGCATATAAATAATTATATGAAATAGACTTTTTTGTTTTTTCTTAGAAAAAATAGACTTTTTCTTTTCCCTGTATTGACTAATTTGCGTACGTACAGGTATAGTCGTCCACTCGTCCGTCTCTCATCCGTTTCAGAATGTTGTACTCACCACTCGGTGTTGAAGAACAAGAAAGCAAACAAAAATCCGAAGGTCATTTTCGTCATTTTGAAATGTATTGCAAAAGTACTGCGGGTAAGATGGGTTGAGGACCTGAGGTTCTAATCAAGAGGGCAGTACCGTAAATAAGAGCGAACTCGAGGGGTATTTATTTTGTGTATAAGATTCACGACCCTGATGTGCATATAATAAATAACAAACATCATTTGGAGAATGAGATAGAGAGAAAGAAGAGTTAAGAGAGAACGCCACGCTTTTTCTGGTTCTCAGCTCTTTTGCTTGTTGGAGGAGACTTCAAAGAGGAACTTGAACACAATATTGGTGAAATTCATCGTAGGTATGTGAAATCATTTTCAACTTGGAAATTCATCTTATTATTCATGGATTTGTAGAAATTAATGTTTTTTTTTTTTAAATTTTTTTTATGGGACTCGGTTGATTGGAGGTTAGTTTTGTTTGAAGAAAACATTCAGAAAACAAATAAGGTTGTTTATCTGTTTCTTTATTTGTCGTTTTGAATGTTGGGAATCTGGAAATGGGAATTTATAATTTTTCCGCTGCCTTATTAATTTGGTTTGTGGTATGATTTCAAGGGCGTCTGTTTTCTTTCCTCTGGAATTTTAGCTTTTTACTGCGAAAGTATTTCATGGTTTTTAGTTAGTGGTTTCACTCTTTAAAGATTGGCTCTTGTGAAGAAAAGGAAATTTGATATTTATAACTGTTATAGCTCTAAAAACATATTTCCTATGGGGGGGTTAGAGCTTGCCGTTTTCTTATTTGAGATTAGATAATGAATGGACTACATAATCAAATGATGGCCCTTTTTTTTCCTCTTCTTTTCGTTTCGGGGTTTTTTTTTTTTTTTTTTTTTTCCAGCAGTTGAATTTCTTCTTTTTATTTTTACCTTCACTTGAATTCACCTGTGTCCTTCATAATCCTCTGGCAACTTTTGTATTGTTTAAAAAAAAAAAAAAAAAAAAAAAAAAAAAAAAAAAAAAAAACTCAGAGAAGCTGGTCATGTATTATTGTGAGAACTATTGTCTCAAATGCCTGGCGCCGATTACAAAAGCTTCAAGAACATTCATTAAAAGATATGGTTTTTAGCCTTAAGTCTCAAATTTTCCTGGCGGTTTAGCTTCTGTATTTAGAAAAGAGGCGCTGTCAAAGATATCTTCTTTTAGCTTTAAAGAGCATTTTCCTCTTGGATCTTCATGGGGATGCCCATCGTTTTTCAATTCTTTTTCACGGATGGTTTTCATCGGATGAGTGAAAGTCAAAGGTTTACTTTTCTAAAGTCAAGCCCTCCATTGGAATTTATCTCTTTCCTTGCCTTCTTTTCTTTGTTTTGCTTGAGATCATCTTTTGTGTTGCTTAATCGAGTAGCGGGTGGTAAAAACAAAGTAGCCGTCAAATGTGTTCGTCACTCTCAATGTTTCCTTGTGATACGCATGACGGGCCAGCCAAAGAAAGTCAAAAGATAAAATAGAACGGGAAGACTGGAGACCCAGTTGGGTTTTATAAGTGTTATCATTGGAAATTCGAAAAGGAAAAAAGAAATACAACTTTCTACCTGAAATTGCGTGGAAGTACAGCCAAAGAAGGGGAATTCTAGTTTGATTAAACTTTATAAGAAAACAGCTAAAGTCTGTTTTTGGACTTTGCTGATTTAGCTGTGAGTTTCGTGTTTTCCTGTTTGTGCGTATGGAATTCTTAGGTACTTGATCACCTAGAAAAGTAAGATATAAATAGAATTGTTCTGGGCAAGTTTCTATGGATGTCATAACTTGTTAGAAGTATGCTGTCCGATCAATTTCAGTTTGTGCTTGAGAATGTTTGTGTCTCATGTTTGTTCAAGGTTGCGTGGATAATTTGATTGTTTTGCTGCATCAATTAATGCCATTAATAGTCACCACATGCATAAATGTTACGGTTTTGCTGATTATATTTGCTCCTTTTTCTTTTTTTCCCTCTTCTTGGTGCAGATTACACGTGGCTTTCTCATTTTTCTTCCAGCTCTGCAGTTTCTGTTGAAGAGAAAGTCTTCTAGATGCTTATGACTGAAGTTTATTGGTTGGTTGTGGAGATCCGATAATGGCTGTTACCGGTTGCAGACAACTGGTCTAGCGGTATTGGAATCAAGTATTACAAGAGGTTTCTAGCGAACAAATAGTGCTTATCTTTTGTGCCAACAATTTCTTCTTTTTAGATGCAAACTTCTCAAAAACACCAGGCAACAGGCGGTATACATGGGTTGTACCAGCAGCATGTGCAAGATATCAACCCCTATTATTCACCTCATTTCCAAATTTTAGAAAACAACATGTTCCCAGACACTGGCAGCCAAGGAAAGAGTCTCTCCTTCGAGACCTGCAACGAACAGTACTTCACCCTTGATTCGTCCCCGGCAACTGCTGATTTTCTCACCTGTGATTCTCATTCCCCTTCCGCTGTGAGTGTCTTGTCACACAGGAGTCCCTTCTCACCTCAAGGCTCCCACTCTTGCTCGTCTGATCCGCATCATTCCTCTGAAATCTACTCCGGATCACCAATAAGTGGCTGCTCTGTGACTGATGATGGCAATGAGTTGAAGCACAAGCTCAGAGAACTAGAAATTTCACTGCTGGGAATTGAATCAGACATTGTTGACAGTTGCTATTGCTCCTACAAGACGGAGGCCCACCAAGCTACTTCGCTTGCAAGCTGGAAGATGATGGATACGCTTCCTAAGTTGGACCTAAAACAAGTCCTCATGGCCTGCGCGTATGCAGTATCCGAATCTAACTTATCAAAAGCAGTGGAGTTAATGGATATAATGGGAGACATGGTGTCAGTTTCTGGCGAGCCAATCCAAAGATTAGGTGCTTACATGTTGGAAGGGTTGAGAGCAAAGTTGGAGAAATCAGGGACTTCAATCTACAAAGCCCTCAAGTGCAATGAACCAACGAGTTCAGAACTGATGTCTTTCATGTCCATCCTCTTCCAGATCTGTCCATACTGGAGGTTCGCTTACGCATCTGCGAATGCTGTCATCAAGGAAGCTGTGCAAAACGAACACAGAATTCACATAATCGATTTCCAAATAGCACAGGGCACTCAGTGGATGTCGCTAATGGAGGATCTTGCCCGTCTGCCGGGTGGACCCCCATTCATCCGCGTCACAGGAGTAGATGATTCTCAATCATTCCATGCTCGTGGCGGGGGCCTTAACTTAGTCGGCCAGAGGCTAGCAAAGCATGCAGAGTCGCTCAACGTGCCATTCGAATTTCATGGCGCGGCAATGTGCAGCAGTGAGGTTGTATTAGAAACCCTCAGGATTCGACCTGGAGAAGCAATAGTAGTTAACTTCCCGTACGTGTTGCATCACATGCCAGACGAGAGTGTAAGCACTGAAAATCACAGAGACCGGTTATTGAGGCTGGTTAAGAGCTTGTCACCCAAAGTTATGACCCTGGTCGAGCAAGAATCGAACACCAACACCTCCCCATTTTACACTAGGTTTGTCGAGACAATGGATTATTACACGGCCATGTTTGAATCAATCGATGTGGCTTGTCCTAGGAACGACAAACAGCGGATCAGCGCAGAGCAGCACTGCGTGGCTAGGGACATAGTTAACATGATTGCTTGTGAAGGTCCTGAGAGAGTGGAAAGGCATGAACTCTTTGGGAAGTGGAGGTCAAGGTTGATGATGGCCGGGTTTACGCCGTGCCCGTTGAGTTCTTCCGTGACTGTTGCAGTGAAGAACATGTTGAGAGAGTATAAGTATAACCAGAATTATAGAGTTGTGGAGAAAGATGGGGCTCTTTATCTTGGCTGGAAAAACAGAGCTATGTCTACGTCTTCTGCGTGGAGATGAAGATAGATTGATCGTGATTGCAAAAAAGCTTGTAAATTTTTTCCCTTTTTTTTTCGGTACTCATGTTGATGAGTTTTTAGTCCACGAGAAACAGTGATGTCTATAGTTTTGTAGAAGTAAAGTTAGCTCTTTTCCAATTTCCGACACCTGACTCTTAGAGGGCGTTTGGTTTATATATTTAAAATCATAATTTAGAATTATTTTTGTTTTACGTGTACTTTTTGTGAGAGAAAATACTGGAGAGAATTATAAATCAGGATTCCTGTAAATGTTGTGGTTAGGAAAGAGAATTTCGTTTTTACTTTTAGACGGTGATGTTGTTATGTTTGTATTGTCTATTGGTACTACAACGAAACCAGCAGTTTCTTGACTCGATGGCATATAAGGATTAAAGGATTAATTTATTTGAGCTCGGATGCGATGATTGGACTTGATCAAAAGTCTTTCCTATAATCACCTACACGTATAATATATACAAGGTTTTTTTTTTTTTTTTTTTTTTTTTGGGTGTGTGTTTTACATATAATATAGTACCTGAGCCAAATTTCTAAAGAAAAAAAAAAAAAAAGACAAATACTCTTTTAGATATATGAGTCTTAGATTTTTATTAATTATTTTTTATTAATATTTTTTAGTTAAAGAACTATATTAGTAGAAAGTATTAATTAAAAATAAAAGATAAAAATCATAAAAACAATACATTTAAAGGGAGCTTTTGTTGAGTAAGTAAGCTTGAACATTGGTCAATTTTTGTGGGTTTTTTTATTAGTTGGTGATCGCAACTAATTGGTTAGTGCTGTCAAAATCATAACCAAAACCAAACTGAGCATAAGGAAAGACCGATCAAAGTGTGACGAGCCGATTTTCTGAACCGAAATAATATAAAAATTTAAAATTAAAGATAACAACCCATCTACTCTGCCAACTAATTAACTTTTCGACATACATAAACTTCAAAATTTAACAACTCATTTAAAATAGGCCCATAGTAAGGTATAAAATATGAGATAAATATATGTATTAGTAATCTTTTATATAAGGCGGTTAAAGGAATATATCTTCTCAATGTGAGATTTTTAAAAGTTTACATTTTTGTAAATATAAATATGAGTAAACATGATAAATATTATTGAAATTGGAAAATAACATATCAACTAGTATGTATCAATGGTCTAAGACCGATTTGTACTTTTAGAGTCCCTTTTCAGTTTATTTCAATAATCTTGGTAAAGAAAAAAAAAAAAAAAAAAGGAGTCAGGAGGGCTTGTGTGAAGAAGCTGAACTAACTTTTAATTGTATCTTTATTTTATAAAAAAAAAATAGAAATTGTATCTCACAAATAATTAATCTACGTAATCATATTCTTTAATTAAAATATTATTATTTTATTATTTTGTGGTTACACTCATAACCTAACAACTTCTGATGCGAGAAGGGTAGTTTGGGAATTATGTAACGAAAAGAAGAATGTAACGCGGGGGTAGTTTGGGAATTATGTAACAGAAAACAAGATTGTAACGCAGGTTTATCCGACAAGGAAAACCGAGATGCAAAACAAAATTAGCGCCAACCACTAGGGGCCACGTTTCGTCATATTCGAATCTGATTTGATAAAAAATAACGTCTCGTTCACCGATTCAATCTGTAAAATAAATGAGACTTAAATATACATTTTATTTATAAATTTAAAATTATAATTTAAAATTATTTTTAATTTATATATATTTTTTATAAAAAAAATACTCTAATAAATTATAAATTATAGTACAAATTCTCGTATTAAACACTGTATTAGTAAAATGAGCCGATTTGACGGCAATAACGACAAATTCCCACACTGCACACGTCAATCATGTAAATTTACTATTTCTCATGAAGGACTCTACAAATCCACCCTAGAAAATCACAAAAAACAAAAGAATAAGGAATAGACGCGCCGTCGTTTGAACCCCAGAATCAAATTCTCCGACCATGAAATTCTAAGGTATTGCCATATTATACAGAATGTTCAATTCTCAATCTTTTTTTTTTCCCTGTCTCTGATCAAACATTGCAAAATCAGTATGTTTCTTGAAACAATCCTCGTCATATACAGAAGTACAGGCACTTCCATTTATTTTAATTATTTTTAAATATACATGATTCACTCGAAATTCGAAATTAAAATGCAGTACAAAAGCTATATTAGTTTATGGGCGTTTCGAGTTGTTTGTTGAATTTATAAAACTGTCAATTTAAAGAAGATAAGTGGAATTGTTTGCACTGCGGATTCAGAATTAGATGATGACATTGGCAATGGAAGAAGATTCAGCGGAGAGACCGGAGTCGCGCAGAAGGCAAAGGGAGGAAGAACGTGAACGACGTCGTATGCGGGACAGGCTGAGAAGGCAATCCATGACCCTGGAGCAGAGGGAACGACATCTCGCTAGGCGTCGTCGAAACTATCAACTTAGACGACTCAGAGCTGAGCCTTCTAGACTTAATTCTTCAGCTACAATCTCTCGTGAATCCGGGGGTGAAATTGTCATTTCCAAACATCATGATCAAGCAGTAAATTCTGCCCCGGAAGTCATTACCTCCCGAGATGATCATGGTTTTCAAAAGCTAAATTCTGAATGCTTACAATCCGTGGGTGAGTTTCTGTAAAATGTGCCTTATTCATGTTTAAAGTTTGAAACTTTTTTTCGGGGTTTCAGTACAAAAAGCATTTTTTTATAAATGTTTTTCATCAATGGTTAAAGTTTTGTAAAATTATAAAAATGACTGTTTTTATTAATTAGTGGTTATTTTTTATTATTAATCAACATTAATTAATAAATAACTAAAATTAAGTTGTAATTAATCAATTTCACTCAATAAATTAAATATTTAATAATAATAAACTATTGATAAATTAATAATAAATCAATTAATTAGTAATAGTCCTATTGACTTGCAAATATGTAACAAGTTTAGTTTTTTAATTATTTTTTATTTAGATATGAGATCTCCAAGAAAGAGAGTTTTTAAGTATTTAAACACAAAAATGTAACACGTAACAATCACGTGCTTGAAAGTGTTAGAAAATTAATAGATTCTAACGGGAAATGAGTTAGTTGCAAATAATTGTTTTATGGGTTTAGGAATCGTTTTGTTAAATTTAAAAGACCAACCATTAAAAGTATAAGGACCAATAAATAGTGTTTAATTACTCGTACATTAATCCTAGTTTTTAAAAAAGCGGCGTTCGGGCCACAAAACAAACTCCAAGGCCTCGTTCACTTCGCGGATTCGAGTTTTCGATTCGAGCTGAGATGTGACATTTTCTGAGAGCTTTTTACTGTAGCAGAAAATTTTGATGTGACATTTTCTGAGAGCTTTTTACTGTAGAAACCTAAAACTAAAAACTCGAATCGGTGAAGTGAACGAGGCCCAAGTCATTTAAGACGCGTTTTCTAGAGAGAGAGTTAGAGAGAGAGAAAGTTGTTGAAGAGTAAAGGTTGGTTGGCACTCCAGCACCACCTCTGGACGCATCGTCGGGTTTCCGGCCGTAAAATTTAGTCATCCGGCTCATTTATCTTGTCGTTGGCTTCTCGTTAGTGGTAGTAGTATACGGTATGGTGGTTCTGTTTAGGCATATATGAACTAGTTAAGAGTTTAGAAGTCGAATGAACGGTCTCCTTTCTCAAGAAAGTTTTCCACTTGATGACTGAGATCTTATCACTAACTATCTTCCTCGATGGTCTTTTGGCTGGACGCCTTTCACCGGAGGTTTCTACCGGCGGTGGTTGGAGGTTTTTTTTTCTTTTCTTTTTGTAGCTTTTGTGTTTGTAATAAGGTTGGTAATTTCCTCACCGACACTCGTCTGATTTGTTGTTTTTTGTTAGGTTTAGGTGTTCGGCTTAATGCCAATATGGTGGTCTTAGTCCGGCTATAATTTTTTCTATGCCGTGTAGATGTCTCTTTCTGTGGGTTTTGACGACCTGCTCCTTCAATGCTTGACAGCTTATGTTGAAGATAGAAGTTTTCTCTAATTTAGTTTTCTGTCTACTCGTTGTTAATGCGCCGATGTGCTTTTTCGGTTTCGGGTCTCAAACGTACGTCTGTCCTTCTAATGGGTTAACATTGTACGAAGACGTTCATCAATATTTTAATGAAATGCTTTTTTCCTGTAAAAAAAAAAAAAAAAAAAAAAAACTCCTAGTCCAATTTTGTTTGTTAGTTTTTTTGTTGTTTTCATTTCTTTTTTCTTATTTGTTTGGTATCAGAAGAAGATTGCGGTGATGAGGCAATTTGTGGACTAGAGTTTCTGATATGTGTCTTACCCAGAAGTTGATTACGGAACCCTTGGCGGCCTGAGCACACTTTTTAGTACTATGAATTTCCTGTCCACCCCTTCAAAAGGACTTTTTTTTTCATATCTTAATTAAAGAATTGGTTATTTTTTGGGGTTTTCTTCTAATCAACAATTTCACTTTTTTCTGGGACGATAAATTTATAGTTTCTTTTTTTTTTTCCGAGTTGTTTTTTAAAATTGGGCTTCTGATGATAATTTAATTATCTTAACAGATTTCAATGAGATTTTACTCTCAATGATCTGATTGTTACACACACTGAAGCCCCATTACCCGAATATATTAAATTTTTTTATTGTTTTAGTAAAAGTTTTTTTTTCTTCCTTTTTTTATCCCTTTGCTTTAATTACACTTAAAATACTACTTTTTTTTGTTATAGGTTCGGAAACTCTAGCCCAGAAAACGGTTAATGTGACGAGAAGATTAAGATTAAGTCAGTTAAGATGTTTTGCGCGATCATTACATCAATGCGGAGGTGGAAATCATGAAAGAGAAGCAGCAGTACTTGTGTCAAAGAGAGATGCTGACATGACTTGTAAGTTTATTTTTAATAAGATCTTCTAAGTGCTGATGTTATTATGTTGTTTGGTTGGAAGATTCGTACTTCAATTCGAATCATGATTCATGGTTCGCTACAGTATTTTTTCTCATAAAAAATACACGTAAATCAAAAATAATTTTAATATCAGAATTATAATCCATGAACCAAACATTTTGAAATTGTTTTGTTAAAGTATGTGTCTTGTTTTGTGGAAAGTGCAATATGGAGACAGCTATTCAAGTAGATTACCAAGCGGGCTACGTTTGAATCGTATTAAACGTCTTGCCCGGGGATTTAGTGCTCTTAACACTGAGATTAATGGTCAAAGCCACCAAGGTAATTAAGAAATGTTAATGATAATTACTCATGTGATATTCTTTTGTGCAAATCATTGTTACTTGTGGATTTTGCTAAGCATTTGTGCCTTTAATTCAGTGGAACAGAATATAGTGGTCAGTAGTGGCGAGCGAGCACTAGAGGGTGAAGTGAAAAATGCATTGTGAATCCGCATGAAGAGGTGATTTTTTTAATTGACCAAAGACGAGGAGTGGCCTCCTTTTAGCTCAACTAAATCGTTTTGGGTGGAAAATCAGTAAGTTTGAAATGAATGTGGAATTTTGCTTGTAAATTGTTGTAGATAAGCAGCAAAAATAGACATATTAGTTGCTCTGACAAATAATAATATGCGGATATCTAATCTGTTTCTCTATTATTATGCATCTAATTAGGAGTGTTATCTTGTCTTGCTTGTTATCCTTAACATTTGCTTTAATTCTTTTAGGAAGCAAGTATGTTAAATTACGATCGGTTGCTACTTCGTCATTTGTGGCATCTTTTTGTTTGTTAGGACTCACTCAAGACTCAGGAGTTTTATGATTTTATCCAACAGATTATTCTCTCTGAAGTGGAATTCACATCACAATTAACTAAGATCCAGGAATGC